GATATTAGCGCTATATAAATCATAATTTATTATTATTATAAGTTCTAGGGGTTCATTATCCCTTGAGCTCGAGATCCTCCCAATCTATTGTCAGTGTGCATATTGAAAATGGCATTTTTCGAGATTTTGAAGTCAAGCATCACAAAAGGTTTTGCCCTTCTGGTGCACTTTTTCAACACTCACATGTATATTTGCAATTGCTTGTCAACCAAACTTGTATATTCAGAACAGTGTAATGCGGAATAAATCAGCCTACACTTGCTGCAAGTCACTAATTTTTTCGAGTGATAATAGAGTATAGGTGGACGCCAATCAAAGTATTTCCCAGCATTAATGTTGGAAAACTCAAAGCTTTTAAGGGCACGTACCTATGGAATGTCATGGAAACCGGCATTGATTGACGTCCACCCGCGGGCGCAACCTATTTCGTCACGATGGCAAATTGTACGATTTCACGCGTGTGATTGAGAAGCGCTGTAAGTGCTTACTTAATATTCTCTTGAAGTGATCATATATCAACTATAACAAAACMTACTAGCATATTATGCCAGACTCGTACTCATTCGCTTCTTCTCTTGTCTTATTGATCTCACGCTGTGGTTGATGGGAAGGATTTAGTGAGTTCCCGGTGCATCAGGGGAAGGACGGAAGAGAAAAGCGAAACGTTACTTTTTTCTTCTCCTTCCCACGCGCCTAGCCTTTGCGCACTGCGATCCGTAGCGGCAAAAAGGTAACGACTGGGTACGAGTCTGATATTATGCCGAGTCTGAACTAACTGCTCCGCCCCTTTTCCGTTCTCTATATCAGTTTCGCCACTCGAGTCTCTGGGGTGAGTCAGATTTGTCACTCCCTTTTATTGTTTGACATGTCTGACGATTTAATTGTTTTTGAGTATCCTTTGATTTATGATTTCCATWCATAAATACGATCCTCTGGCTAACAAGTCACTGAGTGAAATTAAAAAGAATGAGTTAATTTGTCAGAGGCTTCCAATCGTTTGCACTAGTTTGCTATACTTTGCTTCTAGTATTTCCTTCATTTTTTTTAGATCAGTAACCCAAAACTAAAAGAATACAACGAATCGATTATGGTATTGTTGAAGCTTGCAATGATAGAGACCTTTTTTTTAACACCTTGAAGAATTATTCACACGTCTCTATCATTGCAAGCTCACCGTTCGTCTCGCTTCGATCCAAAGGCATCTGTGWAGGGGACTACTTTTAGGCTTTTGATCATGACTTATAAATTTTTCACAAATATCATAACATATGACTTAAAGGATATGAAAATGTGCGATTTATTTGAAAAACGCTTCAATTATCTTTTTCTCTAATTTCAAAACTCACCCCCCCTTCCCTGGATTAATTAATGTTCGCCCCTTCGGCCCTGCCATGGCAAAGCAATATCATTTTTTGGGATCCCTGTGTATTTGTATCAAACCGTTTSTGCGATCAGCTTTTGAGCTGTAGTTTTTTCTTTATTCCAAGAAATATTGCGCTTTTGGTCAAATCATATTAATCTTGGATTACCTTGTCAATCAAGTCATTGGATACTTCTATCTATAAGCCCAAGTTAGGACCAGTTGGACGATCTAATAGGAAAACTTTCACTTTTGCTAAAATGCTCTCTAGKATTCCAAGGCACTTAGTGAAATCTTCAACCCACCTTCGACAAAGTTTAACCCACAAATCATCCACAATTCTAGCTTCACAAGCGATCAATTCAAGAGTGAAATGTTTACACACTACGGCGCCAACAAACACAAGAATCGTTCGTTCTTCATCGCATCATCCTGATATCTCAATCCCTACCAACAAATCGTATGTGGAGTTTATCTTGGAACACTGTGAAAAACACGGAGATAAAGATGCCATYGTAAGTTTTAAGAGTTCTATTTTGTTATTATTCTTAATCCAGGAATAGCTTTTRGGATTTTAAACAGGGTTATATTGTAATCCCTACACAATGCATGCGCTTGGTGATAAAAAGGATGTTGTGTTATCAGTAATACAAACTTTTAATGTTGACTTTTGGTTCATTATTTATTCGAATAAGTGAGTCATATCACTCTCTTCTTCATGATTAAATATTACACTATCGTACGAGAAACATGCAGTCTTTTATACTTTTAAACTCGAAACCTTAATCTTGATCTTAATATCAGCCCAAACGYACAATAACACGATCTTCAAGTAAAAATTTACATGTGCTTCACAAACTAAACATGTCCAAACGTATTTTTGGCGACAATCAATCAGTGATTTAAATTTTATGATAAACTTATCGACAAGGATGTAATGTACAGGCTATAGATGGTTTTATTTATTGGTAACACCCCCAAATGAGGACCAGAAACGCGATAARTCAAATTATAGTGGGAAATCTAGACTGGAGTGCATTGGACTTTCGGAATGTCTGATGATTTTCGGTTGCTCTTGAATTAAAAATCATTTCGAAAACTTATTCTTTCAATGTTCTTGTGAATCTTCTAGGCTGATGCATYGACTGGTAAATCTTTCACATATAAAGATGTTAKTGATCTGGTAAAGAAGTGTGGATCAGCCTTCAAACGTATGGGGAAGAATCAGAAAGATGTTGTTGCAATCTACATGCCCAACTTGCCTGAGTATCCTATGGTATTTTATGGCATTCAAGCTGCTGGTGGGATTGTTACCACAGTGAATCCAACATACACTGTAGATGAACTAGCTTATCAACTCCAGGATACTAGTACAAAATATCTTGTAACTACACCAGATTTCATGGTTAAGGCGAGGGAGGCAGCGTCAAAAGTAAAGCTTCCATCAGATAATGTTCTTGACATTGATACATTATGGAATCTTGTCCTGAGTGATGATGGCTCATATCTACCTAAAGTTCACACAACTAATACCCCAAGTGAGGACATAGTTAGTCTCCCATATTCCAGCGGGACAACTGGTCATCCAAAAGGCGTCATGTTAACTGATACAAACTATATATCTCATGCATTGATAACGGGTACTGAGAAATTTATGTTCAGAAGGTCTGATCTACCCCAGCTCCTAGTCATGGCTCTTCTGCCATTCTTCCATGCATATGGTCTTGCTTTCATCATGGGGGTACACTTTTATCTTGGATCAAAGCTGTTTACTATGCCTCAGTTTGATCCTGAAGCCTTTCTTAAGGCTATTGAAGATCACAGGGTATGTAACTTACTCTATTCAGGGGTGGATATAGTAATCTAAGAAATGGGGGTAGGGGTAGGAAACATWAAAATTCAGCATTAGATAAGTCTCCTTCCTAAATATGCAGAACAAGACCAAATGAGGTCCAAGGAATGGCCCTCCCTGTTAAATTCTTAAAATATGGTTTAATTTCCAGAAATACTTAATCCAGTGTTCTGGGGATATTTGGGACAATTAGTTTTTCCCAAACTGAAAGGGGTACCCCTTTTTAGGACTAAATAGGGCGCATTATTTTGGCTATTACAGTGTCTTTAACTAGTTAATTTTTTGTTTGCTTATAACTGCTAATATGATGATAAAATAATCAGGGTCTGGAAGAGGGGTCTGGATCCTGAATCATGTACTCCCCCCCCCCTCCAAAAATGCCATGTCCTGCAAAATTGTGCTGCCTTTTTTTTTATATTCAACATATTCAAAGGTGTTTTAAGTTTAAATTCATTTATTATTGTTTTAACGTTTTTCCCAAAAATCAGAAAGCAAAATCCCACACCCCGGACTTTGAATTTGGCAATACCTGGGTCAAGGCCAATACAAATCCCATCACATAAGATTTTTTCCTGGTTTCTGGGATCCTGCGCTATATTTTATCCATTTCCTGGTTCCCACAGACACTCTTGCAGACCCCGAAGAATACCAACAAATGACTGAAAATGCGAAAGTTGTAGCCAAGATTCATGGTAGTTTTAATTAGATTGGTTGACTCTGACTTGTTTTTCTAAGAGAAATTGCACAGACTGATGTTTTATAATTTTCTAAACTCTATCAGATTACAGAGCTTCCTATAGTGCCTCCTATTGCATTGTTCCTTGCTAAACACCCCATGGTTGATAAATATGACCTGTCGTCTCTTGAATCAATCTTGTGTGCTGCTGCTCCCCTGTCAAAAGAAGTGGAACAAATATTAAAGAAAAAATTCCCCAATGTCAACATTATCAGACAAGGTAATCCACCTATATATCAATGTAAAGCACTAGGATGGGAGGGGGCTATCCTTGGGAAATTGCCCCCACAAGGAATTTGATTTGGCTGCTATCTTGAAAAAGCCAGAAAATACAATAACCATATGTACTAAGAGGGGGAGTGAGGGGGAGGAGAATTAAGGTAAAGAAGGGAGGAAGCAACAGAGGGACGAAGAAAGGAAGGCAAAGAGAGGGGGATTACAGAAAATATCTGGTATCAGGGGCTGGGTAACTAGACACCCCTGGAAATGCCACTGATCGAGTATATAAATTTGTCATGCTTCACTGAATTCACCTTTATTGAGATATGCAACTTAGTATGGCAAATGGTCAAGAATTATGCATGTGCATAAATGTCTAAAATTTGTCTATATTTTTTCWAGGATATGGTCTTACTGAGACAACAGCAGCCTGCATTTTAAACCCYAATGATAAAGTCAAGAGTGGATCCATAGGCGTTTTGCTTCCTAATCAAGAAAKCATTGTAAGATTATCACTTTAATCCAGTAACCTCATTTTGCCTCAAAAATATATAAAGGCGCTGAAATACAAGACACAAAAACGTCCAACTTGTCGCGCAACATTGTTGCGGTGCAAGTTCCAAAACAATGTTGCTCGTTTTACATCCTATCTATCCAACTTGTCACGCAACAAAATCTAATGTTGCAAGTTGCGACTAGTGCAGTTTTCGTATGACTGTGAAAAGCTCAGTGCCGTAAGTGTGACGTGCCGTGACGGTGATACTTCCTAGAATTTTAATAGGCTGATTTTTTTTCACGCGCAATATGATTGGTCTAAAAGTGCCGTGATGTTGGCGTGACCGTGTCCGCGCCGTGTTTAAGCCGTGTTCCGGGTATTTGATTGGATGGAGAGTAAATTCTCGTGCAATGTGATTGGTCTGGCGTATCCCTTGCCGTGTCATGGCCGTGTTCGTGCCGTGAATTTTTCACAGTCATACGAAAACTGCACTAATATCACGGTGATATTCTGCACGCTGATTGGCTACAAGCTACATAATTCAAGATGGCGATCGCTTCTGCACATAAAATGAAATGTTGCGTGACAAGTTGGACGAGTGATGAAAAACGAGCAACAAGTCGAAAATTTGTTGCAGAAAGTTGATCTACGTTCTACTTTTCGCAGCAAGTTTTCCCAACTTGCAACAAAAGATTTTGTTGCGTGACAAGTTGGATAGATAGGGTGTAAAACCAGCAACATTGTTTTTGAACTTGCACCTCAACAATGTTGCGCGACAAGTTGGACGTTTTTGTGTCTCGTATTTCAGAGCCTTAAGGGAATCGAAGGCAGCAGTAACAATCCCATAGCGATACTTCAATATTGATTTTGCTTGAAGTTAATAGTTCAATAGTCAAATATTTCGTCATTTGAGTGTAACTTCGACTTTAGTCTAAATTTAGTTAATTTTTTCCCCAAATTCATTTGCTTCAAACGCCGTATTTGTCGTGTACGAAATGCAACTATTAGATTCGACGTGACAAAAGTTCGACTTCTGAACTGAAACCATTAAGTTTTGGTCGAAAAAGGCTTGATCTTGACCTTGACTTTGACCCCTGGAAATAAAATAACAGGAAGGCAATTACAATGCTTTTTATTTTAGGTTAAAGATTTGGAAACTGGTGAGCATCTTGGCCCTGGACAAGACGGGGAGATATGTGTCAGGGGACCCACTATTACCAAAGGTATGAGACAAGAGAATATGAACGTATATATGTGATTAATATTACATATTCCTTGCACAAAAAGTTTCCATTCTCACGTTTCGTAATACGATGCTAAATGGTCATAATTCTCGATTTCTTTTACTCTTTTCCAGGTTACCTGAACAAAGCAGATCAAACCGAAGTGACTATCGACAAAGATGGTTGGCTTCGCACGGGAGACATTGGTCATTACGATGAAGATGAGTATTTYTACATCGTTGACAGACTCAAGGAACTGATCAAATACAAAGCTTATCAGGTACAGGGAAATACCATGTCCATTGAGAATTCGTTTTTACGATTTCTGCATTGGCCTGCATTTTCTTGTGCATGAAGGTACTTGGCTATGCCCTCGAAATGTGCCAGAAGGTACTATCCCTACGAACGCAAGATTCCCTCAAACACAGTGGCGGATCCAGGGGAGCAGGGGAGGGGTGCAGGGGGCGCGCACCCCTCCCTGGTTCGACTTTGTGCCCCTACTTTGAAGATGATCAATACAAAATAATGTTTTTTTCCCTTTGATTCTAAGGGGTGCACCCTCCCTGGGTTAATTTTGTGCGCAGTACCCCTCCCTGAACAAATTCCTGGATCCGCCCTTGAAACACAAAAGAACATAGGCACGATCACGGAACATGCGTCCATCCAATCACATCGCGCGATAACGATAAGGATAATTTATTTTACGTCAATTGAACACAGGGAGTGGTTGCACAATCTCCCGAGCCAGGAACTCATATATATAACTGCATATTCAATCTGAAATTTTCTCTTTATATTTTACAGGTTGCCCCAGCAGAGCTTGAAGCTGTTTTACTAACCAATCCGTACATCACAGATGCTGCAGTCATTGGGATCCCTGATGAAGAGGCTGGGGAGCTCCCTAGAGCATTCGTAGTGAYTAARGGYGGGATCACTGCARAAGAGGTCCAGCAGTACGTCGCTGATAAGGTGGCACCACACAAGAAGCTGAGGGGAGGGGTGGAGTTTGTGGARAGCATTCCAAAGTCTGCGAGCGGAAAGATATTGAGAAGACAATTAAAAGATAGATATAGAAGTTAATGGTAAAGAAAAGGATAAAACGTTTAACAGTTCTAGTTTTCCTCCYGCCGGGGAGGGGGTGGGGACTCGATTAGGGATAAGCACCAGAGGGGGAAAATTTTGGAAAATTTGTAGACTGTGCAGCTGTCAGGGTGCCTTTTATATAACTTTAGGCTTTTCAACGAGAAGCACATCTAAGGAGCAATCGAATTTGCTGATAGTTGGAATAATGTGTGAAACACCAAGACTTCCATTTATTTGAAAACTTAAGCCCGCCACTTACTGTTATATAAAGTTTCTAAGCTTGCCCCCATGGCATCCCATAAATCAAGATGGCCGGACGAATTCCTCACAAACCCCTCTTGATCCGAGCCTGTAACATGATGTTTAATTCTTACAGAACTTACTTTATAGTAACACATTCATATATTTTTATGTTGTACAGTACATATATCTATGCTTATTACATATATATTTTGGAAACATTTAATAAATGAAATGGAAACTTAATTTGTAGAAACAATAAATAAATGAAATTGAAATTTGATTTGCTTCTCAGGTGTGTACTCTAGGGAGAACTTCAATTCGCTCCGCAGGGAGGGAGGGCCGGTAGGAATGTTTTTATTGGGGAGGGGGAGTCAAAAAAAGAATCAGGCTCAAAGCTAGGGGGAACATACAAAAGAAT